GATAACAAAGATAAAACCAAAATAATTTACAGAGGAATAAGAACCAAGAAGAAACAAAAGTATAGGGAGACAAAAGTGCTAAAAATTAAGCAAGACATTAAAAGAAGTAAAAATTCTACTTTTAAAAAAATCAAAAAAATTATTGAAAACAGAAACGGCAATTCAGAAAGAATAGATAATTTTTCTATTTATTAAAGTCTGTGAGACTAGTAGAACTCGTCGATAAACTATATAATTCAACTGTTCTGCATTTTTATTTCCAATTCCTTCTAATCTGCTAACATAGAACATAGACATAGAAAAAAGCAGAAAATCCTAAGATACAGAAACATTGAAAAAATTTAAATTTCGAAAAGACTTTTGGACCAAAAAAAAACAAAGTGGGAAAAATCGAATCAAAAAATGGACAGACTTTAAGTAAAAAAGTATTGATCAGAAAAAAAATATAAAGACTGATCTGAAAAACCTAATAAAACAATACTAATAATGACAAAAATGTTGAAAAGAAAACAAAACAACTTGCAGAAGCAGTATTGAAAGTTAAAAAACTAAGAGAGAAAAACAAAAAAAAACGAAGAAGAGAAAACCAAACCAACTCACAGAAAACAGAATAATGTACAAAAAAAATATGTTTGGAAAGTCAGAAATAATAACTTTAAAACTGATTAAAAGGATAACAAAGAGAAAACCAAATAAATAAATAATTTACAAAAAAATAAATAATTTACAGAGAAATAAGAACCAAGAAGAAACAAAAATGTAGACAGACAAAAATGCTAAAAATTAAGCAAGACATTAAAAGAAGTAAAAATTTTATTTTTAAGAAAACAATTTTTTTTTTGAAAACAAGTAGAAATTCAGAATGAATAGATAATTTTTTTGTTTATTATTATTAATCTGCTAACATAGTATACAGACACAGAGAAAAACAGAAAAAGTTGAAATACAGAAAGACTGAAAAAAATTAAATTTGAGAACTGAATGTAAAAATCAACAACAACAAAATGCTGAAAGACGAAAAATCGAAAAAAATTAAAATTCTACTTTTTAAGAAAACAGACAAAAATTTAAAAACAGAAAAACAACATAGATTTTGGTCAATATTTTTTAATCGTTTTAGACAATGAGAGCATCGTGGAGGACGACTTCGGCTCGTCGGTCGTCGCCATCCCCTCCCACAGCGTGACGAAACGCGCCATCGTCGACGACATCGGTGATTCCCCTACAATTTCGCGCAAAATCCGCGACGCCGATTGGCCCGTCAACTACGAAACCGACCAAAAAACCAACGAATACTTCGTCAAAGTCCTCGTCGTCGCCGATCGCAGCATGATACAGTACCACCAATCTAACGAAGATCTAAAACACTACATCCTAGTTCTAATGTCACACGCGGCCCTTCTATACAAAGATGCTAGTATAGGAAACTCGATTTCGCTATCGGTGGTCAGCATCTGGATGTTGAACAATACTGTTTTCACCAGCAATAACTCGCAAGGTAAGTGTGTTTTTGACCAAGGGAGGAAAATGCGTTTTGTAGTTATGTTGCGCAGGTTTTGCGAGTGGCAGAAACGGTACGTTACCGACCGGAAACACGACATGGCGTTGCTGTTTACGAGGTGAGTTAAAAAAATTGTTTCTCAAAATAATGAATAATTTCATTCATAAACTTGTTTTGTCGGCAATCGCAATGACAAGGTCTTCAATGTTTCGAAACTGGAGATTCTTATCGGTTTATTACTTTTTTTCTGATATTTTTCATTAGTTTCATGTTTCGCTCACTTGTCCAATTAAGTTTAAATCTCTGTAATAAATTACAATAATCGTTTATAATTAATATTCCGGTTCATGGCTTCGATTTCGGTCATTTTTTAAGCGCTATTATAAATTCATATGAGTTTGCAGAAAAATCGGCTCCAAACCCACGCTAATCACAGGATTATAATATTAACTTGTTGATTTGTTTTGATTAAACGTTATGAATAAATAATAACTGTTTCAAAAGCGCATAATTTTCGAGTATTTTTGGCGAACCATAAAACAAGAATAACTCCAGTTCGCACTTTATGACCACATTATCGCTTGATGGAAACATTAAAAAATTAAAAAACTTGAGACGGTGCCAATATCCGTGTTTTTCTTTTGTTTTCCTCTTTTGTCAAATGTATTTATTTCATTATTTGACTGTAATAAAAAGTCTATCCAATGTCAAAAAAATGGCCGTTGGGGAAGTCCACGCTCCAATGGAATCTGTATACTTTGGTTTGAAACCTTGATAAATTTTTGTATACAAAAATTTACTTTTATGTTTTATGGGTTGTATAATAATTTTTTATTGATTGTAATTTTTTTCTAAGAATTTATTCTTATTAAAAAAAATAAAGATTTACATTTGGGTTAGATAGTAATTTTTAATCTTTACAAATTTACAGGAACATTAAAATTACAATAACTCTTTATTATTTCTTCAATACTTGGAATAAAAAACACAAGGATTAATTTTATTCTCTATTAATTAGCTCTCTATTATTCTCTAGTATTTTTTTGCTTTGAAAAAAACCCTTGAGAATTTCCTATACAGGGTGACCCAGGGGTGCGTGCAACCTCCATAACCTTTTCTCTATCCAAGTTGTCAACATGATTTTTTTTTAAACGATAGATCCAACAATAAGGCACATTATAAAAATATTTCTATTCATATACAGAATGTCCCAAATAAGATACACAACTAAGTTTTGTTTTTTTAAATGAAAACCCCAAATGTTTGTTACATTTTTGGATTCGCCACTAAATTGTCAATATAACGCACCTAGGTTTCTTAGAATTATCTGCAATAGTTTTTGACTTATGCCAATTTATGTGTCAAAATTGCGTCGTGCGTAGACCCACAAAAAACTTCATAACTTCAAAACTATTCAAGATAACTTAACCAATTTTTTTCCAGTCAATTCCTCAAATTTCAACGCATATTTTGAGATAAAGGCAAACTCTGAGTCGATGTTCCATCGCCTACTACGATTTTTTGAAAATGACAAAATACAAACGGCAATAGTTCGATTTTTTTAAATACAACACTCTATATTTTATTGCAGCATTGCATGGCATTTTTTATGAGCTTTTTGTCGATGTAGGGTTTATGGGGTCTACTTTGTAAAATTTTTGAGATTTTTGTAAAATAAGAATTGTTGATGTTTTTTTTTTTAAAAAAAAGGAAAATTGTTAAGGGTCTATATTTTGGTAATAATTATATTGTTTAATCAAAAAAAAATTCTCATTTAAATTTTTTTGGCCCTACATAAGCCATCGTACTCAAAAACCAATTTTTATGTGGGAAATAGTTTGAGAAATAGTGAAATACATTTGACAAAAGAGGAAAACCAAGAGAAAAACACTATATCTGTGTTTAGGGACCCCATTTGCAAGAAAAACTCGTCGAGTTGCGACACTTTGGGCGTTGCTGAAGTGGGTTCTATGTGCAACCCCTCGTCGAGCTGCGCCATCGTCAAAGAGCGCGGTTTGTCCTCCTCGTACACCATAGCCCACGAATTGGGCCACGTCCTCAGGTAACAACCCAAAATTCACCCAAAAACCACTAAAACTGCCTCTAGTATGCTCCACGACGAGACCGAAAGCTGCTCCCACTTCAGTCGCGGTCCCAAATCGGAGAACATCATGTCCCGGATCCTCAACAACGGGACAAAACCCTGGTTATGGTCCGAATGCTCCAAACACTTCCTCACCGAGTTCCTCGAGTAAGTTTAAGGGCGTTGACATGGTGTCGACTGACCCACATTTTTACAAAATTTCTGAAATAATTAGATACGAGACGAAGGCGATTAAGTGCTAAAAAAGGAATTGCGTAACTTTCACGATCGATTCTTTATGGCCAGTTCCATTTTAAAGTAGTTTCGCCCATATGGGAAGAGAAAACGGAATTTTCGCAAAAAAAACACCATTTTACAGATCCAACAAAGCCAAATGTCTACTCAACGCACCCACGAGTAATTATATCTCATCGGAAATCTCCGATTTGCTACCAGGGGAGAATTTCGAAGCTGACAAACAATGTGAACTCGAATTCGGGGTTGGTTATAAATTGTGTTCGTATCAAGCCACTTGTGCCGTCTTGTGGTGCACTTCCAATGACATTTATGGGTGCAAATCCAATTTGTTACCATGGGCAGATGGGACGTCGTGTGGCAGGGGCAGATGGTGCCACCATGGGCAATGTATACCTCTAGATAGGCAAAAATTGACACCGGTACCGGGAGGCTGGGGGCCTTGGCAACCGTAAGTACCACTTTTCCAAATTTATTATCCGATTTGTCTCTCTTAAGTGCTTTGGTGACAAGTTTATGTGTCTAGTCGACAATAATGCGAAAAATTGCCAAGTAAAAAATAGAACACTATAAATAAACTTGAAAAGTAATAAAAATAAAATCGATTTGTTTGTGGTGATTTCAATATTTTCGTATTTGTTATTTTTTCTGAAATTAGATGGAGCGACTGCAGCCGCACGTGCGGAGGCGGCGTGAAGCAAACTCGCCGTTACTGCGACTCGCCGGTGCCCCAAAATGGGGGTCAATACTGTACGGGTAAAAGTATCCAATACGTTTCCTGCAATACCCAATCCTGCGACGATGACGTTCCTGATTTTCGTGAAGTTCAATGCTCACAATTCGATGGTATTAATAAAAATTTGGCGAATTTGACCAAAGATGTGAAATGGGTGCCCAAATATGGGCTTTCGAAAAGGGAAGATTTGTGCAAGTTGTTCTGCCGACCGCAAAATTCCAACGCTTATTATCCTTTGAAGGATAAAGTGATCGATGGGACGAAATGCGGATTGAATTCGTTCGATATTTGTGTTAATGGGATTTGCAGGCCGGGAGGGTGCGACAATAAGCTGAATTCGAAGATGGATCTGGGTAAGTCTTGCTTCAGAAGAAGAAAAAACAAAATCTAAAGTTGTTACTCGTCCTATAATTTCCTTTATTTCTTTTGCTATTTGGGTATTTTTCCTTCTCGGTCTCAATTCACTTTCTCCACCAGAAAATATCCCCTTCTGATTTTTAATATTTTTTGACTTAGGATTCTCCCTTTCCTATTCTTCTCTCGTTTTCTTTCCCCACTCTTTACTTTTATGAATATTCTTCTTCCTTTTCTATAACTTGTTTAAACAATTAATCTCCTTTTCACTTTTCTTTCATTCTTCCCTATTTTTCTTTTTTGAAATTTTATGCTTCTTTTCTTCTATATCTCAATTCATTTTTCGTATTTGCCCGAAAATAATCCCTTTTTTTTGATCATGTCTAAATTTCTTTAACTTAGTATTCTTCCTTCCTTATTTTTCCTTTTCTTTTCCCACTTTTTGTCGTACTTCTTCCATTATTCTAACTCGTCCAATGAGTTAATCTTCTTTTACTTTCCATCCATTCATTTTAATTTTTCATGTCCGTTCTCTTCTATGTCTCAATTCACTTTTCTTCTTAGCCAAAAAATCTTCCCTTTTCTTTGTTTATCTTTAAATTTCTTCAGTTTTAGAGTTCTTCCTTCCTTACGAGTATTTTCTCGTTTCCGTCCCCACTTTTTTTTCGACAATCTTCTTCCTGTTCTATAACTCATCCAATAAATCTCCTTTCACTTTCCATCCATTCATTTTTTTTTCATTCCATCCATTTTTTCTATTTTTTTTACTTTTTGTCCCGCTTTTCTTCCACGTTTCTTTTTTCTTTTATAATTTTTTTCATCTTATACAACTCGTTCAATCAGTTAATCTCCTGTTCACATTCCTTCCATGTTTTCCAATTTTTCTTTTTTCATGTCTMTTTTTTCTCAATTCACTTTCCTTCTTCGCCAGAAAACATTCCTTTTTCTTTTTTCATCTGTGAATATTTTCGACGTTAGAATTCTTTTTTTTTCTTTCCCCACTTTTTTTCAATTTTCTTCCTCTTCTGTAACTTGTTTAATCAGTGAATCTCCTTTTCATTTTTCCCTAATTTTCTATTTTCATTTTATATGCCCCTTTTTTTCTATCTCAATTCACTTTCCACCTTCGCTAGAAAATATTTCCTTTTCTTTGTTCATCTCTGAATTTCTTTGATTTTAGAATTCTTC